CTTAGGAAAAGAAAAGCTGGGTTATTAAAATAGTCCACACTAGTCTGTCAGTCAAAGTGATATTCAGGGGCAGAGAATGTAGAATGAAGGTAAGTGACAGCTAAGAAAATGTGACTTTTGCATGTGCTTTGCAAAGTCAAATTTTAGGACTTGCTATCTGCGCTGATGGAACACATTTGAAACCAAGTGAGCCAAAGGCTGGCAATACATTATACAATTTTTTTGAGAATTTTGCTTTAGATTTACCAAAAACCATATAATATGAGGTCAAACCCAAACAACACTTTCAATTGTATCCAATTAGGCAGGCTCTACACAGTTGAAGGTAAATCTAAATAAAATTGAGCAGAAATTGGACAGAAAATTGTATAGTGTATGGCCAGCCAAAGACAGCCCATGTATCAATTGATTGACCAATTGTATACCAGCCTGTAATACCCCTTCATTACCAGGCCATTTTTTCAATGTGATGGTAGCTTGGCTGACAATCACTCTGTCATGCAGCACTGTACCCAAATTACCTTCATATCATTTTTTGAAACAGGCAGAGCTTTATTTTGGTGGGATTTTAATTTTTTACTATAAAAATGAAAAAAAGATCAAACATTTTGAAAATGAAAACCTGTTTCCCTTACTTTCTGGTAGAAATTAAAATGGCACAAATACAGTAGTACAAAAACCCCCCGAGTGACCATTTCTTGGAAAGTAGAGACCGTGATCTAATTTTTTGCCACAATTTTTGGGAAATTGAGAAACCCGCTGATATTGAGGGAGTTAAACACAAAGCTGGTAAAGGTGCACTAGCTGCAATAATATTTAGGTTGTACACAGAGGAAGGAAGAAGTGAAGGAGTTAATGTACTGGTCACATAGAGTGGCACAGAACAAGTGTTGTGATAATTCATAAATAACAAATGTGATAAACATCAAAAATGTGCATTGAATGCTAAATGTCCAAATCTGCAAGTGCAATGCAAAATATATAATAAAGTCGTAAAGGCTGGAATAGTGATGGATAGCATGCCACTCCAAATAAAAGTTGTAGGATGGGAGTATTCCCAGAAAAACAGAAAGATCCTCTACCAGGTCCAGCTGAGCACTGGTCAAAGCTTGTAGGAAGTGTTTTCATTCTGCTCTGACTGTCGTATGAGGCTGAATAACCCCTGAACCTCTGTCTGGACAGTGCTGATTGGGTCTGTGCTGATCACATGCACCCTCCCAAAGAAAAAATAAAACTCACAAGGAATACACACTAAACTGAGGATGTGCAGAGTGACTCCTAGTGCTCTATACTATCGCAGATGGATTGAGACAGTAGAAGAAGGGGAGGATCAGAGAAGACATCATCAGTAACAGCCTTTTTACACATTACAAAGGATTAACCCCTTACATTCCACAATCAGTATAACAAGCACATTTTACTGCATATACAGACTGATTTTACTGTTGTGGGTTTAGTATCATGTTAATGCATTTCCTGCAATAACGTCCTAATAGCTGTAACTCCCCTTTACTTCTCACCTGTATCGATCCAGCGATGTGCCCGTCTGCAGCAGCGCTGGTCTCTCTCTGTCTCCTCACTGGCTCCGAGACAGCAGTAGGAACTATTGGCTTCTGCTGAAGTCAATCAAATCCTGTGAGGGGGGAGTGGGGGGCAGGGATGAGCTGTGCTGTGTGTGTGTATGGATGCAAACAGCCTGGCTCGGAAGCGAGCCCACAGGTGTGCCACCATAGGAACTGATTTCCTATAGTGGCATACAGAGAACAGGAGGATTCAAAGGCATTGGCAGAGGACCCCAAAAGAGGAGGTTCCAGACTACTCTGTGCCTGATTCATCCTGCCACATGCTATGATTCCATCTGCTGGTCCCTACTTTACTACTACTGGCCAAATTATCTACTCACTGGCCACTTTATTAGGTACACCTTGCTAATACCAGGTTGGACCCCTTTTGCCTTCAGAACTGCCTTAATTCTTCCTGGCAGATTCAACAAGGTGTTGGAAACATATTCACATGATAGCATCACGCAGTTGCTGCAGATTTGTTGGCTGCACATCCATGATGCAAATCTCCCATTTCACCACATCGCAAAGGTGCTCTATTGGATTGAGATCTGGTGACTGTGGAGGCCATTGGAGTACAGAGAACTCATTGTCATGTTCAATAAATTGTTTGACCTTTGTGACATGGTGCCTGTATGACACCCCTATATAGAATGTATGCACAACGTTCCTGCCTGTATGACACCCCTATATAGAATGTATGCACAACGTTCCTGCCTGTATGACACCCCTATATAGAATGTATGCACAACGTTCCTGCCTGTATGACACCCCTATATAGAATGTATGCACAACATTCCTGCCTGTATGACACCCCTATATAGAATGTATGCACAGCGTTCCTGCCTGTATGACACCCCTATATAGAATGTATGCACAACGTTGCTGCCGGTTTGACACCCCTATATAGAATGTATGCACAACATTCCTGCCTGTATGACACCCCTATATAGAATGTATGCACAACGTTGCTGCCTGTATGACACCCCTATATAGAATGTACGCACAACGTTGCTAGCGGTTTGACACCCCTATATAGAATGTATGCACAACATTCTTGCCTGTATGACACCCCTATATAGAATGTATGCACAACGTTGCTGCCTGTGTGACACCCCTATATAGAATGCATGCACAACGTTCCTGCCTGTATGACACCCCTATATAGAATGTATGCACAACGTTCCTGCCTGTATGACACCCCTATATAGAATGTACGCACAATGTTCCTGCCTGTATGACAACCCTATATAGAATGTATGCACAATGTTGCTGCCTGTATGACACCCCTATATAGAATGTATGCACAACGTTGCTGCCGGTTTGACACCCCTATATAGAATGTATGCACAACATTCCTGCCTGTATGACACCCCTATATAGAATGTATGCACAACGTTGCTGCCTGTATGACACCCCTATATAGAATGTACGCACAACGTTGCTAGCGGTTTGACACCCCTATATAGAATGTATGCACAACATTCTTGCCTGTATGACACCCCTATATAGAATGTATGCACAACGTTGCTGCCTGTGTGACACCCCTATATAGAATGCATGCACAACGTTCCTGCCTGTATGACACCCCTATATAGAATGTATGCACAACGTTCCTGCCTGTATGACACCCCTATATAGAATGTACGCACAATGTTCCTGCCTGTATGACAACCCTATATATAGAATGTATGCACAACGTTCCTGCCTGTATGACACCCCTATATAGAATGTATGCACAATGTTGCTGCCTGTATGACACCCCTATATAGAATGTACGCACAATGTTCCTGCCTGTATGACACCCCTATATCGAATGTAAGCACAACTTTCTTGCCTGTTTGACACCCCTATATAGAATGTATACACAACATTCTTGCCTGCATGACACCCTTATATAGAATGTATGCACAACATTCTTGCCTGCATGACACCCTTATATAGAATGTATGCACAACGTTCCTGTCTGTATGACACCCCTATATTGAATGTATGCACAACATTCTTGCCTGTATGACACCCTTATATAGAATATATGCACAACGTTCCTGCCTGTATGACACCCTTATATAGAATATATGCACAACGTTCCTGCCTGTATGACACCCCTATATAGAAGGTATGCACAACGTTCCTGTCTGTATGACACCCTTATATAGAATGTAAGCACAAAATTCTTGCCTGTAGGACACCCCTATATAGAATGTATACACAACATTCTTGCCTGTAAGACACCCCTATATAAAATGTATGCACAAGGTTCTTGCCTGTATGACACCCCTATATAGAATGTATGCACAACATTCCTGTCTGTATGACACCCCTATATAGAATGTATACACAACATTCTTGCCTGTAGGACACTCCTATATAAAATGTATGCACAATGTTCTTTCCTGTATGACACCCCTATATAGAATGTATGCACAACATTCTTGCCTGTAGGACACTCCTATATAAAATGTATGCACAATGTTCTTTCCTGTATGACACCCCTATATAGAATGTATGCACAACATTCTTGCTTGTACATGTGCAAGTATGACACAGTTATATAGAATGTATACACAAACAACATTTGTTCCTGTACATGTGTATAACATAATCAATATACACATCCTCCTGCCTATATATGTATAACACCACCCCCCCCCCCCCCCTCCATAAAATGTATACACATCTCCTGCTTTTACATGTGTGAGTATGACACCTACCATACAATACATTTTCATTTATATTATTTTCTTTATGAAGAAAAGCTATTTATTGGACATAACGGAATGTAAGTGGAACAGTATTTTTCAAAATCTTTTAGAACTTCTTTCTTTATATAGCGAAAAAAAAAAATCCAATAGCTATTAAATACCATAAATACCACCAAAATAATGATATATTTGTGTCTATTTGTCTAAGAAATGATGTAACTAACGAATGGTCAAGTAATTGTCAGTCAAACTATGATAGAAATAAAAACTGAAAAATGGCTTGGAAAGGAAGGGGGTATAACCAGGGGCGGACTGACCATTTGGAAACTCGGGCACTGCCCGAGGGCCCGGGGTCAGTAGGGGGCCCCATTAGATGCCCATGGTACCTTTTTCATAGGCTTTTTTGAGTGTGGGCAAGGACACAGGGTCCCGGGGGCCCCATGAGTTGTCAGTCTGCCCCTGGGAATAACATGCTAGTACTGAGGTGGTTAATGAAGGCTGAAAAAAAAAAGAAAGAAAGACTGAATGCATCTTTTGAAATTACATAAACATATTAATGCATATAAGCAATTTTAATTACTGAGTTTAGATCTACTTTAACATTTATTTCAGTACATGTTTCCTTATAAAGTAAAATGATTTTACGGTTGTGTTATCCTTCTAAAGTTTTATATTCCAGTTGCAGTCAAAAAGCTACATTTTGTTTTGTACGTATATGTAAATGTGTTCTTACCCAAATAATTGACTCCTTCTTCTGGTGTAATTGTTCCATATTTTACCATCATTTTCACAAAGTCAATAAGAGTTTTCATTATGGTTATTAATGTTTCCTTTTCTTTAGCGTCATTTTCTATGGATAAAAATGTGGGAATTAGATAAAGCTATACAATTTATAAACATAAATATAATTATGCATACAAATAATTTTATATGAAATGTTATCAATATATTATCAATCACTTTACAGTTAATATAACTCCATGCCATAACATATACAATTATAACCACTTGACCTCCAGAAGGTTTTACCCCCTTCATGACCAGGGCATTTTTTGCTATTCAGCATTGTGCTACTTTAACTGGCAATTGCGTGGTCATACAACACTGTACGTAAATCAAATTTATATTTTTTTTTCACACAAGTAGAGCTTTCTTTTTTTTTGGATTTGATCACCACTGGGTTTTTTATTTTTTGCTATATAAATGAAAAAACACTGAAATGTTTGAAAAAAACCTATACTTTCTACTTTCTGTTATAAAACATATCCAATAAAATCAGATTTCTTCATAAATTTAGGGCCCAATGTATTCTGCTATGTCTTTAGTAAAAACAAATCCCAATAAGTGTATATTAATTGGTTTGTGTAAAAGTTATAGCATCTGCAAACTATGTTATATAAACAAGAATTAATGCAGATATGAAGATATACTGTTAATGGCGGTGATCAGTGACTTATAATGTAACTGATAGTGTAGCGGGAAATCTTGCGCTAGCTGACACTGGCTGGGAGGGACACAAACTTACTGACACATCAATAGTGACACTAATACAGTAATAAGTGCTAATATTGTAGACTGTCACTGTACTAATAACACTGGCTGTGAAGGGAGGGATCATATAGGGGCAATCAAAGGGTTAACCTAACAATGTGTAATATGTGCTGCTTTTACAAATAGATGTCAGATCTGCTTTGCAGGGAGAAGAAACAGCCAGATCACTGCTCTGTGTACAGAGCCCTGTGTTGTTAGTAAACACAAGGCTCTTTGCTGACAATATAGCCGATCAGCAGGTCCAGACCATAAATCATTGACCAGTACCTGCTGCCAAACTTGTGCTGTAGCAATTCACAGCACAAATTGGGCAGGGGGCGTGCGCATGTGCGCCCTATACCCGGAAGAGCTGGATTAATCAAATACATGTATGCAATCTAGTGCAGCTGCACACAGTAAATGTACTGCGGCTGGTCAAGAAGCGGATAAGCAACCTTGGCATACAGGTACCTATATTATGAGGTTACAGTACAAATAGACTAAAGTGCCCTTGGAATCCAAACACCTTTTTTTTTTTTTTTTTCTACAAATACCAACAGGCAATAGGCCAATAGGCAGAATATACTCCACATTTCAGACAGAAGGCTGATATGAAAAATAAAAAAATTATCTATAACACATTATGGTGGTTGTACTTGAATGCCAATTTTGCATTGTACTTCTTATTTTGTAAAGACATACTTGCTTTAAATGTAATGCCATATTTCCAAAAAAAAATCTCTTGTACTTCCAGGAAAATTGTAAAAATGTTGAATGCTGCCTGGGAAGAATTTTAAAGTGTATTTACACTTTTGCAGTTAAATTTGAGGAACCCCTACTGTATGTTGTTTTGTTTTTCCATTTACACAGCATGCCTAAAAAGAAGTGCTTAGAATAGAGGATAATGTGAAAATAAGGGGCAGATATGAGAATCTGTCACTGCTGTCTCTGGGCTGCATGAGAGAGACATTCTCAGAGCCCTGTAGCCAGCAACCACGGCAGAGAATGGGCTGACAGGTGCCAGGACGCAATTTCTAATCACCATGGCGACCTAAGGATAGCGCTTGGGATTTGTCGAGCCCTGGTGCCAGGATGCAATTGCTGGTCCAGGGCTCGACAACTTGTGCCCCATCAGTACTTTATAAACTGTATGTAGCATAAGCTATATACAGGCGTACCTCAGTTTACAAATTTAATGCGTTCTCCAGAATGTATTGCGAAAAATTTGTAAACCGAAAGGCGGTTTCCCATAGGAATGCATTGAAAACCAATTAATCCGTTCCAGAGATCAGAAAAAAGTTAAAAAAAGTTTTATCTGTTCACAACTCTTTATAAAATGCAATTTAAAGGCATAAATACTGTACAGGGACATGATTAAAAAAAAAATTCATAAATGTATTGAAAACCAATTAATCCGTTCCGGAGGTCAGAAAAAAGTAAAAAAAGTCTTATCTGTTCAAAACTCTTTATAAACTACACTTTAAAGGCACGGGGCTGGCACTATAAACCTCCCAGATGCAATGCATCCTGGGGAAACTTCTCATTGCGAAAACAAATAGTAAACCGAGGCATTATTTTCAATGGATTTTCATTCGTAAACCGAGAATTACGTTAACCAAGGCGTTCGTAAACCGAGGTACGCCTGTATAGTATACAGCGCTATATTCCAGCAGCCATATGGAATACATTCGAGTCAGGCTGGGTGCTGTTCTGCCATTTACTCAAAGCCTTGTAATATTGTGAATGAATACAAAGCTTCCTCTGATTGGCTGAGGTGGAAAGGTAGGCACGATCAGAGGAAGCATGCATCAATTCATAAAGCTTTCTATGAATGGCTGAGCAGCACTCAGCCAAACTCAGTTTTGCTCCGGGAGTGAGACGGCAAGTTCCCACCCCACTGCCAGAACACAGTGCTGTGTACTGTATGTAGCTAATAGGAGGCACAAACATTTGTGAAGAAAATAGTTCATTTAGACCAGCTTGGTCCTAACAAACTATTTAAAGTTCACTGAAAACTTGGGTTAGGATTAAAGGTCTTTAATTCAACTGATATTGATACCTGCCAGCACAGTACAGACAGCGATAATTAGGACAAACATTACTCCACGGCCCCCTCTTAAACTTTACAAAGCAAATGTAGCAAAACTAGGTAGGATTTTTAACTAAAACGCACTTAAAGTAGAACTAAAGCCATTTTTTTTTAATTTGGATAACGTTAGGGAGGGATATAACTGTTTTAATTTTACTTTTGCCACCTGTGTCCCATTGGGAAGATTTCCTTTCACTTCTTGTCCCATATTCAAAACAGGAAGTGGGAGGAAATCCCTCAAAACTGATTGGATCCCCGGTCATCACCTGTGCCCCCACTAACAGATTTTACCTCTACTGTTGTTCTGGTGACAAACAAAAATCTATAATTGTGCAGGAGAGATGCACTACCTTTCCCCAGTTTTGGGATCTTCTTTTTCAGAGCTGCAGCTGTGAAACGTTCTGCCCATTTCCTCTCAGGAAACAGGGAGCATCAGTGCGGTAATGATCCATGACAATGTGTTTTGGAGGCAGATCCCCCTTTCTCAAGCCTTGGCAGAACAAATTACAGCTGGAGATCTGGCCATTGCTCAGCTCAGCGGCGATGTCGAGGTATCTGGCAGGCGTGGACAGGTGCCATCTTCCTTCAAGGCCTGTAGGAATCTGCTTGTGGAAGAGTGGGCCAGTTTCAAACACCTGGATATTCCCTATAACCCCGAATTCCAGGATTTCCTTCTCTGCAGTCTGGCTGTTTACTTTGATGCTTACTCTGATGGATGACATGTGAGTGCAATTGCTGCTCATGTTTTATGCCATTTTAATCAAGTATTTTTTCAGTAGGATGGTTTTCCTTTGCCTTATTATATTTTTCTATGCTTTTCCAGTGAAGGTTAATACAATGGTGCAGGAATAGGATCCAAATAGTTATTATTCATCATTTACCTGAATTAAGGCTCTTTATGAGTTGATAGAAGTTTGGGAAATATTGTAAATCTTCAAAGTTTTCTTCCACTGGCATTTCATTTCTCCTTTCCAAATTAGTTGCAGGGGACCAGTCACTGTCAGCTACACTGGTGCTCTGTTCTGAGACTTCTTTCTCTTGTGGTTCCTTAATTACAAATATACAATAAAAAATATTGTATAAATATACATACATCTTTTTTTCAGAATTGATAAGGCTTTTCTATAGAGGCAAGCTAAAGTAACAAATACTGAAATTTATTTAGAAAACAATATGTAGGAGGTCTATGTTAATTTCATAGGATGTCATGTACTTCTAGATTGTAAGCTCCAAGGAGCAGGGCCCTCGAACCCCTCGTGTCTTCTATTGTATTGTTACTGTACTGTCTCATGTATTGTCTCCCATTGTAATGTACAGTGCTGAGCAAACTGTTGGCGCTATATAAATGCTGTGTAATAATAATAATAATAATGTACTTTATGTTTCTCCTGTTGTATATTAGCTGCATACTGTCTCTCTGAAGAATATGCCTGTGCCGAAGAGTTAATTAAATATCAGGATTACTCAGCATTGCAATTACAACCGATAATTTGGATGCCAAATATTAGCTTGGCCCACATTATGTAATCGCCCAGCAACAAAAATATTATGTTATTTTTCAAAAAGGGTGGAGTGCAGTGTATTGAGTCATCTTCTGGCATGTATTTTATATGGATTTCTTAGTGTGCTTTATGTTTGCACTCATGTGGGTTTTCCATTTCTTCTTCTTCATCCTCTGTGATTTAAACAATTTAACAATCCTTCAGGGAGAGTATTTTCTTTCTGAAATGGTGCAATAGATGTGCAGACACAAACAATAAAAATATATAAACCAAGAAATTCTCTGCTACCCTTCTGCAGCCTTGAGGAGCCCCAGACCATCAGCCAAGCACGTTGGTAAAAGCAAACAGTCATCTTTATTTTCAAAAAACAGGCAAACAGAAAAATAGCTAATCTTCAGCAAACACGATAGTCCATCAATTGTTGGTACAACAAAAAAAGATGTTGGTCTTCCGCCAGTTACACTCGTCCTTTACAGGGTGTTGAAAGCTCCTGTCTGTCTCAGGGGTCCCACAGAGGAGGCCTCCACAGTTCAGCAGCCGTGTCTCTGCCACAAGCTAGCCCACATTGCTCACTCATCTGAACTCATACAGACAGGTGCTGGCTGTTAACTCTTCCTATTCTGGACTCTGATGCAGATAGGTTAACTCCTTCAAAAGTACCCATAATTAGCATTTGGAGGTTCTTTCCCATCTAAAGCCTGGTACACACAATGAGAATATAGGACAAATGATCATCCATTTTTTTTTTGCATGCTAGTTTCATAATGAAAACGCAGAGGTTACTAAAGTTACAAATATTCTCATACAACAGAATATAACTTCGGAAGTGATGTAATGTGTTGTATTGTATTGTATTGTAATGTATACTTTAGTTTCTGAGCATGTGTAGTCTTGCTTTCTGATTATGTACTGATTAAATGAAAATTGTACAATCTGGTATTGTACAAAAAAAAAACTTTTGTGTTTGTCCCTTCTAATAATAATTTCAGACGAAAGCTGTGTACTAACGATCAGATTATTGTACAATCACTTCAAAAGCGCAATTTTCCGTCCGATTTTCTGATCGTGTATACTAGGCTTAACCTCCAAATTCCAGGTTACTAATGAGGACTTACCAATCCAGAGAGTACTGAAAATCAGTCCTCTCCTCTAACTGAACTACCCCAGAACCCCTCACCCAGCATGGATGAAAACCGCTGAGTACCCTGTCATCAAACTATCCCCCTCAAAGGGACCACAACCCAAATAGTGGGAAAATATACCTGCCATCTATGACCCATCCCTGTCACCCTCAAACAAGAATGACACCCAACAAAACAACCCAATAGTTCAAACAAATGTGCAAACATTCAAAATAGATTTTTCAACTATGCAGTCAAATGACTAAATAATTCAGTGTGTAAACTATTTGAAAGTAGATAGCTAAATGTGCAAAAATGAATAAAGAAAGCCATATCATAAATCTATAAAATCATAAAAATGACAATATGAATGAACTCCCTCGGCAAATAAGACTCCCTCAATAAAGTGCAATAGTGCAATAAAGCTAATGATGTGCAAAACCATGGAAAAATCAGTGCAAATAATCTAAAACACAAATACGGTGCAAATAGTCCAAACACATGGAAAGGTGTCCACCAAAATCGTTATGTGCAATAATAGTCTATCACACTGATGGTAAAGATCCATATATGTAAAAAAAGATAGAGTAAGAGAGGGATATAACCCCTCTCAGGATTTTTCCCACAAATGTGCCTTGTGTTGCACTGATGATGGTGTAAATTAAACTCAAAAAGTGAAATGCAAAGTAATATCACAGCTTCACATGTAGACCAGAAAATAAACCTACAGTATCTCACAGAGTACACCCCTCACATTTTTGTAAATATTTTATTATATCTTTTCATGTGACAACACTGAAGAAATGACACTTTGCTACAATGTAAAGTAGTGAGTGTACAGCTTGTATAACATGTAAATTTGCTGTCCCTTCAAAATAACTCAACACACAGACATTAATGTCTAAACTGCTGGCAACAAAAGTGAGTACACCCCTAAGTGAAAATGTCCAAATTGGGCCCAATTAGCCATTTTCCCTCCTCTATGTCATGTGACTCATTAGTGTTACAAGGTCTCAGGTGTGAATGGGGAGCAGGTGTGCTAAATTTGGCGTTATCGCTCTTACTTTCTCATACTGGTCACTGGAAGTTCAACATGGCACCTCATGGCAAAGAACTCTGTGAGGATCTGAAAAAAGAATTGTTGCTCTACATAAAGATGGCCTAAGCTATAAGAAGATTGCCAAGACCCTGAAACTGAGCTGCAGCACGGTGGCCAAGACCATACAGCGGTTTAACAGGACAAATTCCACTCAGAACAGGCCTCGCCATGGTCGACCAAAGAAGTTGAGTGCACGTGCTCAGCATCATATCCAGAGGTTGTCTTTGGGAAATAGACATATGAGTGCTGCCAGCATTGCTGAAGAGGTTGAAGGGGTGGGATGTCAGCCTGTCAGTGCTCAGACCATACGCCGCACACTGCATCAAATTGGTCTGCATGGCTGTCGTCTCTGAAGGAAGTCTCTTCTAAAGATGATGCACAAAAAAGCCCGAAAACAGTTTGCTGAAGACAAGCAGACTAAGGACATGGATTACTGGAACCATGTCCTGTGGTCTGATGAGACCAAGATAAACGTATTTGGTTCAGATGGTGTCAAGTGTGTGTGGTGACAACCAGGTGAGGAGTACAAAGACAAGTGTGTCTTGCCTACAGTCAAGCATGGTGGTAGGAGTGTCATGGTCTGGGGCTGCATGAGTACTGCTGGCACTGGGGAGCTATAGTTCATGAGGGAACCATGAATGCCAACATGTACTGTGACATACTGAAGCAAAGCATGATCCCCTCCCTTCGGAGACTGGGTCGCAGGGCAGTATTCCAACATGATAGCGACCCCAAACACACCTCCAAGATGACCACTGCCTTGCTAAAGAAGCTGAGGGTAAAGGTGATGGACAGGCCAAGCATGTCTCCAGACCTAAACCCTATTGAGCATCTATGGGGCATCCTCAAACGGAAAATGGAGGAGTGCATGGTTGCTAACATCCACCAGCTCCATGATGTTGTCATGGAGGTGTGGAAGAGGACTCCAGTGGCAACCTGTGAAGCTCTGGTGAACTCCATACACAAGGGGGTTAAGACAGTGCTGGAAAATAATGGTAGCCACAGAAAATATCGACACTTTGGACCCAATTTGGACATTTTCACTTAGGGGTGTACTCACTTTTGTTGCCAGTGATTTAGACATCAATGGCTGTGTGTTGAGTTATTTTGAAGAGACAGCAAATTTACACTGTTATACAAGCTGTACACAGTGTCATTTCTTCAGTATTGTCACATGAATAGATATAATAAAATATTTTACAAAAATGTGATAACACTTCTTCCCACAACGCTTAAATAAGCACTTAACATATATACCGGTGTGTTTAGTGCACATGCATATTAGTCCATTTACATCCCAATGCCTTCAAAACACCCACATTCCTCTTCACAATTATATACAAATGGGGTTTCAAGTGTCCCTAAAAAGTCAACATAAGTGAACTGATCCCGCAATCCCTGTACTGTAACAGGGAATTCTTCACACTTTGTGTACCATCACCGTGATTAAAGGTGGACCTTTGACCCATAAACCAGTATAGGTCAAAAGAGCATTGTCCCCACTATAGGGATAATAAAATGCTTTCTCAGATCTGACCGGGATCTCTCCAGTCCACTCAGATATTCAGGGTCACTACACCTTCAACTCTTCCTCTGCAACTCTCTCTCTCTGCAAGGTTAGCTCAAAGGAAACATGGACGCCAACATTGTGAAGTATTTAACACTACCAGTAGATTTATTAAGATTGCACTCACATTTCACATATATAAAAACTGCATTAAGGCTCCCGCTGCACTTTCTGTCCTCTAGTCTCAGCATCACCTAATGATGATCCCGCCCCACGCGGATTGTCACAGATCACGTGACTTCATTAGGGGATGGGGCTGATTCCCTGATGAAATCATGTGATCTGTGATGATACATGGGGCGAAATGAGGGGATGACGACCTTCAAAGGACAATACACGCTCAGTATTGAAACTAAGCACTTTTATTTCTAATGCCATAAAACAATTGCCCATTCATGGAAAGTTTCCAGCCTTCCTGACTAAAAGGAACCATGGTACAATGAGCCGAACACGGTCCTGAATGCATGCCTGTCGATGGATGCCGAGAAGGACTTCAATAGGGTGAATGGTGGAATTACTTCGAGGGCTGGGTCTCAGTGACTGGATGCTGGGCTGGATTCTGGAGCTATATCAGGAATCTAAGGCCCATATTAAGGTTAATGGTATGTTATCTGTTCATGTTGATATTCACATTGTCTCCCTTGTCTGTCCATTGTCTCCCTTGCTGTTTGCCCTAGTCCTAGAGTCATTCCTAAGAATAGTTAGGAGCCATGCAGACATTACAGGGTTCCAAACTGGTTCTAAGGAATAAAAATGATGGGCCTAGACCAATGATATCCTCTTTTACCCTATTAAACCTCATATCTCCTTTCCAGTACTCAAGATGGAACTCCACAGTTTAGGCTTACTGTTGAACTTTAAAATCAATTAAATAAAGTCTGAGCTTTTACCAATCCATGTTCCTTCCACATTAGCAGAATCATTCAAATAATCTTTCCCTTTTGTGTGGCGGAAGGGCTTGTTGCCATATTTAAGATCTTACATTTGTACTGACCCAAATCTTCTATATGACCTTAACTATGGTACTTTGTTGGACAGAGTGCTGAAAGATTTGCATCTTTGGAGGGTCCACCCCTTGACCTGGTTTGGGAGGGTGATTGTCCTCAGATTGATTATCCTTCTATGATTGCATATATTTTATATGCAGTGCCCATTACCCTACCCCAAATTATATTTAAACATTTGCGTTTAGCATTTTTGACCTTTACTTGGCATGGCAAACATTCTAGAATGGCATGCAACATTTTATGTATACATAAATTGGATGGCAGGGTCGGTCTCCCGGATGTAACGCTATATTATAAGACCATGGCTTCCAACTAAATTGTGGGTCTCATTAGAGAAATCAGTGCCAGGCAGGAACTTGGTGAGTGCTCCTTGGATCCCGACTGCTTCCTAAGGACTTTCAATCTGGGCGTCCCCCCTGACTCAAACTACGCTGGCAGTTTGGCATAGAGTGAATGGTTCTGGCCAATATACTCCCAGAATGTCCCTATTAAAACCTTTAGAGGGATATCCCTGGTTTCCACCAGGAGAGGATCTTGGGTTCTTTTGCTCTTGGGGAAAGGTTGGAGATTTTGCTCCCCAAAGTACCCCTTTACCCCTCCACATCCTACAATCCTCCTATGGGGCCTTCCCACTCATGAATTGGTGATAATGCCAACTTACAGACTTCCTAACTAAGCTTGGAGCCTAAGCCACATCCTTAAAATACTCTTACGCCGTCTGAATCCATGTGTAAACAACTTTCGGATTTGAGACACCTGTTAACTCATATGTATAAACTCATTTTAAGCACTCATTCTGTGTCTGTTCCATACTTTATATGGAAATGGAAGAAGAAACTTGGATTGGAATTCAGAGGATCAATCAATTGACACACACCTCATCCATTAGTACCTGTATCCAAGAGTTATCCTACAAATTACTCACCAGGTGGTACAAAACTCCCTGCTGTTGAAGGAGGTGAGCCGATAGAGACACATTTCTCCACCTCTGGTGGTCTTGCACCAAGTTTAGAGATTTTTGGGAAGCAATTACCCCTTGGACTAAGAAAACAACCCTTAAACCAATAGATGGTAACCCCTTTCAATTGCTTTTCCATGGGGTTCCCTCCTCTATGACATCTTATAAAAAGAGTGTTACTTCCCATTTGCTGAATGAGGCAAAATCTTTAATTCCTAGATTCTGGAAACAGACTGCCTGCCCCACACTTACAGAATGGAAAAGTGAAGTGAAAGTTATTATTGAAGCAAAACCGTGGGTACATATGGTTAACATTCAACACAAGAAATTTAGGGATGCGGGGAAGGGCTGGATGTACTACTCTGCTGAAAAACCAAACAACCCGGATGATAGTTTGTCAGGTATTTATTTATTTTTTTGCTCTCCTGTTTTTTTATGATTTTCTTTTTGTGCATTTTTTTTATGTTTATTCCATCACATAGTGGATCTTCCTACAATGTACAGACTTCACATAGTTTGTCATTATGTGTTGATGCTAATTTGAATATGCTGTATTCCTGCTAGTCTTACTGGACCCACATGTGCTTGACCTAGCTTGAGTGCCTTTGTGTATGTTTGGCCCAGCCTATCTCTTCATGTTCAGCTTGCACCTGGACCATGTCTATTTTGTGTCTGCTATATTTTACGCAAGTGAATTGCTGTACATTGTATGTACTTTGTATACATTTTCTACCATTTTTCTTCTACATATTTGTACTGCATAAAAGCTTTAATAAAGTTTGATTAACAAATCAATGGAACCATGGTAAATGACAAACTATCAGCTATCTCATCTGATACCCATGAGAAATGTTTTAAAATGTGGTGTCCATGGATTTCATACTCCAAATTGAGCCACAGAGTGCTACATCTTTGAGGTACTAAAACACCACTGTGGTCCATGGGGAGGGGGGAACTTACTACATTTTTTCATTCCTTTCCTTTTTTTTCCTTTCTTGAGCTTCTCATTTCCCTCTTCTCTTTTCTACATGTCATTGTGAACCAAAGGTATCATAGTGACAATAATGGTTGTTTTGTAGCTACATGCCAATGATAATTGGCAGAACAGTGGGTAAGTGGTTAGCACTTCTGCCTAGCAGCACTAAACTAAGGTGGAGTTTGCATGTTCTCCCTGTGCTTGTGTGGTTTCCTCCCACACTCCAAACATACCCTAGTAGGTTAATTGGTTCCTGTCTAAATTGGCCCTAGTATGTGTATAAATGTGAGTTGGAACCTTAGATTGTACGCTCCTTGAAGGTTAGAGACTGATGTGAATATACTATATAGGTAAAATGTAAATTGACGGTGCTATTTAAGTACCTGTAATAAATAATGAAAACCCTTGTCCTCCTTCTAAGCTCAAACCTTCTTTGAATAACCAGTGTTATGGAGATGTCAGAACACAGGAGTTATTATTAGCCCGATATCTAGTCAATATATGAGACATCTTCAATAAAAGCTTTTGTAAAATATTGATTTCCTAAGGCCAAACTGCTCACTATTCTCCATTCGCCAATCAGAATAAAGAAACTTACCACTTTCCCCTCCTGCTTCTCCTCTGTATTGACGTCTGTTCTGACTGCAGGATTATCCACATCTTCTGATCCCTTTTCACGATTTTTAGCCTCATTAGCAATTAACTGTTGTAAAAAACAACAGCCACCTCATCTTCTAATGCGTATGCCTGGCTTTCTGTAATCTGGTAAAAAAAGGACAATGCTCATTAAACTATACTTAGTTCATTACATCATACTGTTGAATCAGCCTGACAGTAATGCTGCCAACTGCAGGGCAGGCCAAGTGGACCATTTATATTACTGTCTGTTTAAAGGAAATCTGTACCGAGGAAGTATAGAGGATGCCTATGATGACAGTTCCTTGGCTGTCATGCTGATCCAATGGCTTCAGTAATTAGTCAATGAAATAGAACAAGTTTCAAATAAGTAGTTGTGACTCCGCACTGACTTTCCAGATCCAAGTAGTCACCGTCTCAGATAATAATGAATAGAGAGACAACTACACAACTAGATTAGCCAGGAGTTGAAAAAAACTAAAATCCATCTTTCTCAATACGGGGTACATAGAAGTAAAAAATTTCCAAAAATGAACACGGTATTTAACTGATTCCCATCTGCCCCAGGGTCCCTTTCAATAGTTCGTAATGCCCACTGTCACAGTGGTCACATGATCTGAAACTGGTGTTGTCGGCTGCTGATTATTATTCCAGACTGACAGCTGTGTTTGACAGCTAGGTCTTTGTGCTTTATAATGAGAAGTAGGTGTTAGAGCCTGCCCTTTTGCCATTGGACATATGTGTTGGGCAGTTGTAAAGGGGTTAAAGCAGAATGTAAGCAATTTTTGTTTTCTTTTTGGTCTTTCCCCCTCCCCAAAAATGTGAAAAAAAAAAACGTGTTAAAAATGTGTACCCTTGGGTGTTTTTTTGTACTGCAACACTTCCTACTTTTTGGTCTAGGCTGGGCCCCAATCCTTCCTGGAATTGCCTAAGTCGCGGCTATCCCAGAAGGCAGTGTACTGTACATCTGCTCATCGGCACAAAACGTTGCAATATCAGCAAATAGAGTGCCTATATACCAGCACTGGTGGCATTGTTCATGCGCATAGAACCCCCCCCCCCCCCCCCCCCTTTCATGTTTGGGCAGATGTGTCACCAGGTTCTTCCAAGTGTTTTGGACTGGCGTCACATCTGCACAGTCACCAAAAATTTCAAGATGGCGGCATGGAAGAGAGATGGGGGAGGGGATGGATATGGCAGTAGAATTCTGCTTTAATTTGCCCTGGCTCTTCACCTTGTTCATTCAGAGAATACTTTGCATTCATTCCAAGATGCAAACCATTCTCTGAAAGACGTCCATGATGTTCAGCCAACCTCTTGTGTTTAGAATACATCAGGACAGCCACTCAGCTCAGGAAGCAAGAGGGGATCACTGAAGTAACCAAAACTGATTTCCCACTACCAGGGGAATCAGCCAGGCATAGTAAATACAAAGTTACACTGATCCAAGCCAGGGGCATATTTACCACAAGGCAAACAAGGCATTTGCCTAAGGCGTTTCTTTTTAGGTGGGCAGCACTGCCCCCTGGAAGAAGGGACATATGCGGCATGGGGACCAAGTGGGAACCCGAGAGGCTGCTTGATGGTGTATGCAGAGCCCGACTGTCGTTCCCGGGGTTGTCCAGAGCTGTGAAGGTGAGTGTTTTTCTCTCTGTCGCCGGGGGGGGAGGGGGGGTTGGTTTGTTAGTGGAAGGCTCTTGGGTGGGGGGGGGGGGGGGATGGGGCAGGGGTGTTGTTGGTCACTGTCAGACTCTCTCCGCGGGCAGGCTGGTGTTGGTCGGTTTCAGGCTCTCTACGCCAGGGAGGGGGAGGGGGCCTCCGATTTTTGTGTTGCCTAGGGCAGTAGAAAACCTAAATACACTAGTCCAAGCTGGACCAGTATATATAATATTCTATATATACTATTAGACCACTATGTCCACTATGTATATATACTATTAGACCACTATGTATAATATTTCCATACCTGGAATTCTTGTTTAAACTTTACCCTCCTCCCTAATATATCCCTGCTTAGCTGATGCTGTGTTCTGCACAGTAAAGATACTCACCCATCCAGGAGATCCAGTGTTGTCCCGCTGAGATCCTCTTTCTCTGTAGCCACTGCTCGGGTCCCGTGGCACCATCTCCTCCTGGGAAGTCATCAGAAGGCTCTTCCGTGTTCAGGCACCACCTCCCAGTCAGGTGCCGCTAAGCCCGCCCCTCATGCTTTTTTGAATGCAATAATTATAGTGCTCCTGAAGCCTCCTGGGATATGCATGTCACATACATGAGGGAGGATGGGGGGGGGCATGCCGAAACTTTTTCTTGTACGTAAACAAAAAAAAAACAATGCCTGTGTAATGGAGTTGGAGGGTTGGGAATGGAGGACACTAATCTGGAAGGGTGAAGATCCATTTTAAGTAAAGCTGTGTTCATTTTCATCATCCAGTTATGTTCATATGTACTGAACATTTCCTAGCACATAACTAGACCTTGAAATTAGATATAGCTTCATTATATTCTGGATGCTATGTGAACACTCATTACCCCTTTAACAAATCTGCCCCATAGACAAGGATTTAACTTGGAAAAGTTCAGGTCTCTGTAATCCCTCAGGCTTTTATGCATGCTGTATAGATCAGAAATTCAATAACATAATGTCACAGTGACTCAAGTCATTTTCTCTGGTAAAAAGCTGTGAATTTCAGCTATTTTAATAAAAGTGATAGTCGTCATCATAAAATTGCTGCCAATGTTTTCCCTCCTCTTAGTCATCCAGCTCGTGTCCTACAAGTCGGGATAAGCATTGGCTGCCTCCTTTCTCTGCTGCTGGAGGAATTGATTTATTAAGCCTCCTGGCGTCTAATTTCTTCATTTATTGTCTGCGGACCCGCATGAGACGTGCTGCAGCTCTGGCTCTGGATCTTTAACTTCCTGCTATTCCCAGCACTGTAACTTAAGCTGTGCCTGCAGACCCCTCGAAATAATATTCTATTCAACTTTCATTATCCAGTCACCTCCAAGATCAAAGGTTTTCCTTTATGACATTCTCTGCTGAAAAATGTAATTTTAATATGGCATTAAAACATCAAATATCCATTTAATGGACATTTACCAGTCCAACACTGCAGTCAGCAAAACTAAAATAATTACTTTTCATGAGGTATTAATGCTGAACTCCAGGGGAACATCACAAAAGCTGAAATTTTGTTTACCACTATCTTGCCAAATGATATATGATTCTGTTCAGCCTGTCTTGCGACCCCCCCCCCCATCTGTGAGGACAGAGACAATAGGTCCTTGCTGGGGACCGACCCCAGTTTGTGACATGACAATGAAAGAGCAGCATTTATTAATTGTGCTCTACTCTTTCTGTAGCCATATCCACAGAGAAAACAATGCAATGAATTGTCTCTGAGTGCTCCAGTACCCACTTCTAGTTTGAACACTCCTGTACAGGGGACCGTAAGGCCTCATTTACATGGGCATACTTAAAGCAGAATTTCACCCTAAAGGGGAAGTTCTGCTTTATGCCCTCCTCTTCTATTTTTTTGGCACTTTTTTTGGAGGGGCGGGGGGAATGGGTACCTGGTTTTGACACCTATGTTCAGATGCCATGGTGATTCCAATGGAAGTTCTCCCCCCCCCCCACTTTCCGGCAACCTATTGGGACTGTAGGTCTCAGAAGGCTGTGGAACCATTCACAAAGCGCACCTCGGCTCGCGCATGCACAGTGGGAAGCAGGCTGTGAAGCCACATGGAATCACAGCCGGCTTCCCACAGTAAACATGCTGGCACCCCCCACATGGAAGAAAAATATATTTGAAATATATTTAAAATAAATAAAATAAATATATATATATATATATATATATATATATATATATATACACATATATATATATACACACACACACACGCACCCACACACGCACGCACACACATACTGCATATTGAAATGCGTTTTTATTACAAAATATATGAAAAATATTTTTTTAAATACATTTCAAATATACTGTATGTCTTTAAATATGTAAATCTACATTTTTACAAATATATGCAAAAATATATGTTAAAATGACATTTTTATATTTATATTAAAATAGGTTTTTTTAAAATATATTCTTCAGATTTTTAAAAAAAGTCATTTTACATTTTTATTTTTACATATATTTGTAAATGTATTCCAAAAATGTAATTTGTATTTTTAAAGACATACAGTATGTTTGACATGTATTTTAAAAAATATTTTGCATATATTTTGTAATAAAAAACACATTTCAACATGCAGTGTGTGTATGTATATATATATATATATATATATATATATATATATATATATATATATATCTATATAAATATATTTTGAAATATATTGAATATGGCCAAAATTGTAGCATTTCATATATATGTCAATATATTTGGGAAAAATATTTTTAAAATATATTTAAAATATATTTTTCTTCCATATGGGCGGAGGGGACCCAAAGACTAGTGAACAACTGAGGAGGATGGCACTGGATCCCTGGACAGGTGAGTGTCCTTTTATTAAAAGTCAGCAGCTACAGTATTTTTATTTTTTTCAATCAGGGCGAAGAACCTCTTTAAGATTAAGCCTGTGCGAAGGCCGTGTTTGCTCACATGGGGATTTACAGGTGCTTTGTGCTTCCTTGTGCAGGCAGTCCCATTCATGTCAACTTGGATGCAGTGGCTGCATGGACACACCCGCTGTTCCCAATTTGACATGCGTGCGGGTACAGGTGCATACTATCTGCATTCTGGGTCGTACACCCAAACCCACATAGCTCTAAAATTATCTCCTAATTTAGAACATTAATATTCATCAAATAATTTCTTATTTAGTATCTGTGTTTTTAATGCACTGTTCTAGTAAAAAATTATTGGATTACCATATTGGTGATACAATAGTCTCAAAGTAGCCAGATGTAGTGCACATTTCAATTTATATGACAACAGCATATTTATTATTTTCTCCAGTCCCTAATCTGTGATTTACAATGCATTTGCAAAAGCAGGAATGGAGTCCATATATACAGTATAACAAGAGGAACACATTTAATATAAGTTGACCTTTTCAGAAAAAAGTAAAAACGTGGACCAGCACCCTACACCCCCTTCCCGGTCCCTTCTGTACTTACCTCTCAGGGTGTTGGTTTACCTTTTAATTTTTTCTGAAAAGGTGAACTAACCCTCTCAAAAGGAAAACTATCATAAAAAGCAGCCATTGTTAGTTGCCTGGCTGCCATGCTGACTCTTTTGCTTCAGTTTTTTGAGTCCCTAGCTGAGAACCAGTTTTCCTTTAAAGACATTTGATGTTCCTGATCTGCTATGTTCTTGTTCTATTCAGTAATAATGCCAGTAGGTCAGCAAAAGAGTCAAGGTTCTCACAATTTTAAAAGGAGGTCAAGCAATGGCAGCCTCCCTCACTACGAGTTAACTTTAAAGCTTAAAGGGTAACTCCACTTTCATGGGAAAAAATGTAGCAAATAAAAAAAAAATAATGATATGTATAAAACTGCGACACAAGTTATATTGTAGTTGAATGTTAATAAAAATGACCTTTCCTTTTCAATCTGCAGAGCTGTAATTTTCTGTAAAATGTAATGCAATATGGCAACCTGGAAGTGTTCTGTACATAGAAGGTGTACAGAACGCCCCCAAGAAACCTCATTTCCTGCTTGTGTGATTGGCTCACTGATTTTCCCAGAAGTCTGCACTAAGATAAGTCAGATTTTTGGCATCCCCTGCAACAAAGTCATTTTTGGTGAGATACTCCTAAAGGGCAATCCTGTCTAAAGCCAATTTTCCTCATTAGAGCGCTACAGGTGCAGCAGCTGATTGATAATTATAAAATCACTCCCATACAGATTCACTCTGAATAACAAAAGGTAGGAATCTGCAACAAACTGTGGTAAAATCCTTGCAATGTACATAGTACCACCCAAAGGGGAATGATTTTTTTCTCAACAAAAGTGGAGTTACTCTTTAAGTTTAGTTATTTTATTCAGCACACAGGATGGTACTTTTAGTACATTTATTGAATTAAATATGTCCCTTGTGCTGATGGCTGCAAAGCTGAAAGTTGTACAGTAAGAAAATAACTACAATTATACATATTTGATCACTTACCAGACCCAGATTTTAGGAGCTTGGAAACAATCTTATCAAACACCCCTCGGTCATTTTCTTCATAAATTCTCATTGCGATCTTCTGAACAATATCTTCTGCAGTTAATGGGGTTCCATCTAATTGATGGAGACCATCAGGATCATCTAAGGGAATAAATAAAATTTTAATTGCTTCTACTGTCTGGATCTTGGTTATAAATACAGCTTAGATCAGAGCTAACGATGGCAACATTGCTTTCATTAGTACATGGTTTTAGTTTTGATTCCACTCTTTATAACCTCTCCTAGCTTATTTGCATTTATAATGCATCATACATAAAGAAGGTAAAATTATTTATCGGTTTCATTTACACAAGGAATTTCTTTCAGTTTTGTGTACTTAATATACAAAAAATAATGCACTTGAGAAAGAAAGATATTAAAAGCTGTCTGTAATTAAAAAGCCAAACCAAAATTGGACTTCACAAATATTTGCAGATATGGTGAATTGCTGTAAATATACGTCTACATTTTCTATGAACTTATAATTAAATTTCAGTTAATCTTAACAGAAGTCTGTAAATAAATGAAGACTGGAGACTGTCTGGTTTATAGCAGTGTATACTTTGTGAAATATAAAAATGCATTATACTAAAAGTAACAAAATCTGTCCAAATACAGATGTAAGAATACAAAGACATTCATTATAAAACATTTTACCAATATAAATGCAAAATGTAGATATGCTACTTAGGAAATCATGCCTACCAAGCATGGCCTGAATATTCATATATAATCAAAATATAAAATATGTAATACAATGTCAAAATAAACAATAATCCATGAAAAATCATAGAGTAATATTATTATTTATTATTATTATTAATAATGTTAATAATAATAACAATTTTAAGTTAATGAAGAATCCTATGTATATTATCGGTTCTTATTGTATATTTTTCTAGTTAGGGAAATAGGGTAAACTACTGAACCCTTATGGGATCACACTGATGCGTTTTTCCTGCATCTTTACTGTGCATGAAAAACAGAAGAAAAATGTTTCCCTTTAAGTCCTATGGGACTCTTTACACTACTGGGGTGCACTGCGTTTTGAAAACTCCTGCATGATGCATCTTTGGTTTTCAAACCACACCAAAAACACAGCCTCTCCATTAAAATTAATGGAAAACATGGCAAAAACACAGCAGAAATGAGTAAAAAAAGCACCACATTTGCATTTTTGGTGCGTTTTTGAGTCACATTTCCATCTTTCACTGGTGCATGCAATCAGAAAACACACTGGAAACTAAATGGAAACGCATCTAAAACGCGGCAAAAACTCATATGTGTTTTTACTGCAATTTTGCTACGAAGCAGTTTGAAAGTAGGCTTAAGTAATTGATTCCTATATCAAGTTGTCTATGGAGTGCAGTGGCTGTCAGGGAAAGAAGGTTATTTTTTTCCCTTTGTTTTGAAAGGTGTTTTCCACATCTGAGTTTGAGAATTCCTTACAAGTATTGCTGGTGGAAATGAGAAGAATCTCAGAATCATACTAAGATGAACATGTCTGGCTTCATCATCTAAATATATAAAAGTGTCGGGTTGCAAAACAGTAAAAAACAGTAAAATACCTTCATCTTTATAATCCAGGCCACTTTTGGTGGAGTCAAAATACTCCACAGGCTTCAAGCTCTTTGTTGAGTCTGCGTCATCAGTGGCAGTCCTCTGGCCACCAGTTGTACTTATTACTCCACCGCTTCTTTTCACATTTTTCTCTTTCTCTGCCACTGACATCAAGAAACTCAAGTCATCCACAAGGGAATCATTTTTAGTTTTCGTTTCTACAGGATGACAAAATGAATATAAATTTAGCATTTTCAAAACTGCATAACAATAAAAATGTTTCCTTTCCATGGCTGTTGTGACTTACCTGTGCTTGCACCTCTGCTCACTGTGTCAGCCTCAGCAATCTTTTTAGAGAAAGGATTAAAAAAAAAACCCAGAGAATTAACATGATGCAGTATTCTTCGTGATTTGTATAATTATCTTTTTTTCTCATTAACATTTCTCAGTGTGACTTGTGCCTTGATCTAAGTTACTCTTAGCCCTGATTCACACTGAATGCGGCTTTGCAATCACACTACTTCACTTGAAGTAGCGCGATTTCAAAGCCGCTGGTAAGTGAGACTTCATGTTCAGCTTGCCTGACATCTGTGCAACTCTATGCACAGATGTCTATGCAAGTCGCACTTGAAATCGGCAAAAATAGTGCAGGAACTTTTTTTCAAAATTGGTGCTACACCGCAAAGTCGGAGTCGCACCAATTTGAACAGTTCCATTGGCACAAATAGGGTGCGACTTGTCATGCGATTTTGAACTGAAAAAATCGCATGACAAATCCCATTGGTGTGAATGGGGGCTTAAAGAAAAATGTGGGGCTGCTCTGTGCAAAACCACTGCACACATCAGGTAAGTATAGACATTTTTGTTTTTTTTTTTTAATGTAAGCCTTTAGTATCACTTTAAATATACAGCCATGTGAAAAAAAAATTTTTGTTAATTTGTTTCAGCTGCACATTTGCATGATTGGATAACTGAAGGGAATCTTCTCAAATTGTCTAGTAAATCAGCCTCTATATATACATAATATTTTAACACAATCACTGTAACTTATAAGTACATAATATTGTAACATAATCACTGTATCTGATATGTACATAATATTGTAACATAATCACCGTATCCTATGTATACATCATATTGTAATATATTCACTGTAACCTATATGTACATAATATTGTAACATAATCACCGTATCCTATGTATACATCATATTGTAATATATTCACTGTAACCTATATGTACATAATATTGTAACATAATCACCGTATCCTATGTATACATCATATTGTAATATATTCACTGTAACCTATATGTACATAATATTGTAACATAATCACCCTATCCTATGTATACATCATATTGTAATATATTCACTGTAACCTATATGTACATAATATTGTAACATAATCACCCTATCCTATGTATACATAATATTGTAATATATTCACTGTTAACCTATATGTATATAATATTGTAACATAATCACTATATCCTATGTATACATAATATTGTAATATATTCTCTGTAATCTATATGTACATAATATTGTAACATAATCACTGTAATCTATATGTACATAATATTGTAACATAATCACCATATCCTATGTATACATAATATTGTAATATATTCACTGTAACCTATATGTACATAATATTGTAACATAATCACCCTATCCTATGTATACATAATATTGTAATATATTCACTGTAACCTATATGTATATATAATATTGTAACATAATCACTGTATCCTATGTATACATCATATTGTAATATATTCACTGTAACCTATATGTACATAATATTGTAACATAATCACTGTAACCTATATGTACATAATATTGTAACATAATCACTATATCCTATGTATAATAATATTGTAATATATTCTCTGTAATCTATATGTACATAATATTGTAATATAATCACTGTATCCTATATGTATACATAATATTGTAATATATTCACTGTAACCTATATGTACATAATATTGTAATATAATCACTGTATCCTATATGTACATAATATTGTAATATAATCACTTTATCCTATATGTACATAATATTGTAATATAATCACTTTATCCTATATGTACATAATATTGTAACATGATCACTGTATCCTATATGTACATAATATTGTAATATATTCACTGTAACCTATATGTACATAATATTGTAACATAATCACTGTATCCTATGTATACATAATATTGTAATATATTCTCTGTAATCTATATGTACATAATATTGTAACATAATACTGTATCCTATGTATACCTAATATTGTAATATATTCACTGTAACCTATATGTACATAATATTGTAACATAATCACTGTATCCTATATGTACATAATATTGTAACATAATCACTGTATCCTATATGTACATAATATTGTAACATAAGCCCCCATAACATGCCATTTTTATGCACCAGATTGTAACATATGCTACATTTCACACCATAAAAAAGCCTTTCAAATACCTAGGGGTCCATTTGTCGATGTTTTCACTCAAGACTTATACAACATCCACCTACGATGCGCACAATTTTCACATAAAAGTCCGTTTGAAAAAGGTCATACACATCATTTGTAACATTGCATTCACAATATCTGATACGGTAGGAACACCGGCACAGTCATTGAACTACAGTCATTATTATTTGGTATCTACAACCCATCTGCTTAAACATATTGTACAATTAAACAACTTCATTACACTCGTAGCAAGCAATCTACTATGAGGCTATACATAGACACAATCCATCTTACTCCGTTACTAGGTGTGCACTATGCTGTATATTCTGCTCTAGCAATATTCTGTTGATACCACCATCACCATAATCATCATCTTTCTTCCACATGCCAGTTTAACATTTCTACCTTTCTATTTGACAATTCACACATTTAGCCCTGGAAATCAAAGATTCACACTTCTGCAGCCTTCTGACACCAACAATGGGGTGTACTTAAAACAAAGTGGCACAACAATTTTCATACCCTTCTTCCTGCTCCTGGACAATCAATTTACACATTTTGTGGTGATTAGATTAGGGTGTCCATATAGATGCTGGGGTATCCTGACACTCTAAAAACCCTGAAAACTACACATTTAAAGTCAGCCGCTACAAATACTGCAGCTGCTGTTCACTTTTAACAATAGGACACTTACCTGTCCAGGATCCAGCGCTGCTGACTTCTAACAATAAGACACTTACCTGTCCAGGGATCCAGTGCTGCTGACTTTTAAAAATAGGACACTTACCTGTCCAGGGATCCAGTGCTGCTGACTTTTAACAATAGGACACTTACCTGTCCTCTCCTTACCCGAGTCAGCTCTTTGGCTGTCTTCGGATACAGGCGCTGCCGTGTTTACTTTGGGAAGCTAGCTGTGACTGCTGGCCTCCCACACTGCGCATGCAAGAGCCGCACTGCACTTTGTGAATTTTGCTGCAGCTTTCTGGGACGTGATGTGTCCCAGAAGGATGCAGGGAAAGGAGGGGAGGTGATTTTTACTCTCAGAACACCACGGCGATCCGACCGGAAAGTGGGAGAGGGTACCTGTCAAAACTAGGATACTTGCCCCCTACCGCCCCCCCCAAATGTAAAATGAAAGCGCCAAAACTTAAAAAGGAGGCAGACAAGCGGAACTTCCCGTTTTGGGTGTGAAGTTCCACTTGAAGATTGACTTGATAAGCTATAAAACGTCTTCAATATTGCAAAACAAGTCCAACTGAATGTGACTAACTACAGTCATGGCCGAAATTGTTGGCACCCTTGATATGCTTCTCCAGGAAATCATGTATTTCTCACGAAACGTATTGCATTAACACATGTTTTGCTATACACATGTTTATTCCCTTTGTGTGTATTGGGACAAAACAAAAAAAGGGAGGAAAGAAAGCAAATTCGACATAATGTCACACAAACCTCCAAAAATGGGCTGGACAAAAGTATTGGCACCTTTCACAACTGCGGATAAATAAGAATGTTACAAGCATGTGATGCTCCTGTAAACTCACCTGGGGCAAGTAACAGGTGTGGGCAATATAGAAATCACACCTGAAAGCAGATAAAAAGGAGAGACGTTCACTTAACCTTTGCATTGTGTGTCTGTCTGTGCCACACTAAGCATGGACAACAGAAAGAGGAGACGAGAACTGTCTGAGGACCTGAGAACCAAAATTGTGGCAAAAATATCAACAATCTCAAGGTTACAAGTCCATCTCCAGAGAACTAGATTTGCCTTTGTCCACAGTGCGCAACATTATCAAGAAGTTTGCAACCCATGGCACTGTAGCTAATCTCCCTGGTCGTGGACGGATGAGGAAAATTGATGAAAGATTGCAACGCAGAATAGTCCCCGGATGGTGGATAAGCAGCCCCAAACATGTTCCAAAGACATTCAAGCTGTCCTGCAGGCTCAGGGAGCATCAGTGTCAGCGCGAACTATCCGTCGACATTTAAATGAAATGAAACGCTATGGCAGGAGACCCAGGAGGACCCCACTGCTGACACAGAGACATAAAAAAGCAAGACTACAGTTTGCCAAAATGTACTTGAGTAAGCCCAAAAGCCTTCTGGGAAAACCGTCTTGTGGACAGATGAGACCAAGATAGAGCTTTTCGGTAAAGCACATCATTCTACTGTTTACCGAAAACGGAATGAGGCCTACAAAGAACAAAAACACAGTACCTACGGTAAAATATGGTGGAGGTTCAATGATGTTTTGGGGTTGTTTTGCTGCCTCTGGCACTGGGTGCCTTGACTGTGTGCAAGGCATCATGAAATCTGAGGATTACCAAAGGATTTTGGGTCGCACTGTAGGGCCCAGTGTCAGAAAGCTGGGGTTTGTCGTCCAAGATCCTGGGTCTTCCAGCAGGACAATGACCCCAAACATACGTCAAAAAGCACTCAGAAATGGATGGCAAAAAGAAGCGCTGGAGAGTTCTGAAGTGGCCAGCAATGAGCCCAGATCTAAATCCCATTGAACACCTGTGGAGAGATCTTAAAATTGCTGTTGGGAAAAGGTGTCCTTCCAATAAGAGAGACCTGGAGCTGTTTGCAAAGGAAGAGTGGTCCAAAATTCCGGGTGAGAGGTGTCAGAAGCTTATTGATGGTTATAGGAAGCGACTGATTTCAGTTATGTTTTCCAAAGGGTGTGCAACCAAATATTAAGTTAAGGGTGCCAATACTTTTGTCCAGCCCATTTTTGGGGTTTTGTGTGACATTATGTCATATTTGCTTTTCTGCCTCTGTTTTATATTGTTCCAATACATACAAAGGGAATAAACATGTGTATAGCAAAACATGTGTTAATGCAATACCTTTTTTGTGTGAAA